TCAATCGTTGTTTGAAAGTTATTTCATGAAAACATGACAATATTGTGCTGAAAATTTCACTATAACCTTTTCTTTATAACTCCTTCATCAAATATTGAATATAAAAGATTTTACTCGATGTCGAATATAAACTTCTCCATATTCTCGTTTCGATTGAGGAATAGATCGTTGTGTTGAGGTAGCAATTTTTCGATCTTTAGATTTTCTTTGAATAATTGAATATTTCTCAACATTTCCGACTATTGTTAATGGTGATGACTGATGTTCAGAATTATTTGGCATATCAACTATTTTAAATGAAGATATATTATTTGTATCAACGATATTATTTCTAGGAAATAAAGAACTATTCATGGCTACAAAAGACTTTGACTAGGTACACGAATTTTATGAATAGTATCAGTTTTGTGATATTCTTCATCATGTTTGATTGCTACACCTATTTTCATTGGCAATGAAATTCTCTAGAAATATCAAATTATATCTAATAGAATTTTTTACTCTACAACACTTACTGATGGAACTTTAACATCTACAATATCTGATACTTGTTGAGTATTTTCAAAAACCATTTCAATTGAATATTTCATTTTTTATAATTCTTGATATAATTCTTTTGCATTAGTTGTTACTAATGAAAGATTAGTTTGTTCGACTGAATCAATCTTTGGTATTAATTCACTAATAGTAGGTTTGATTGTTGTTTGATGTGAAATATTTTTAATTTGTTTTTCTTCGACAATCGTCATTGTTGGTGATTTTGATAGATGAGTTGGAACAGGTATAATTTGAATATGAGTATCACTATGTATTTGTCTATTTGATGAAAGAATTATTGAACCTTGTTGTTGTTTTTGTTCTTCATGTAGATGTTTACGAAGATTTTCTAATGTTTTATGATTAATGAATTGATTATCTATACCCCTGGAAAGTAAAAGCTGGACATGGTATTTCGAATCTATTGACGCTCGAGAAGGACATTTTGGAAAACTTAATTATACCATTTGATAGCCCTTGGAATTCTCTATCACCCTATCTATTTTTGTCTTCGTTTACAGTTAAACATTACCAAAATAAATTGAGTGCAATGAAGGTACCCTTATGTCCAGGTTTTCACAGATTGGATTTTGTCTCCTCAACTAGTTCTCCAGCTATAGAAATACATTTCCAAAAAAGTAATTATATATTCTGATAGAGCTTGAAATTCTCTATCAGCCCATATATTTATCTATTGCCTTATATTTGTTTATTGAAAAATAATTTGAATACAATGAACGCCTCCTCAATTGACAAGTATACAAAATCCGCATTTTTTCGTTGTTTTTTTAGTTTCTTTCGCAAATTATTTTCGTATAGGAATAAGTTTTTCCAAAAAAAAATTTTACATTCTGATAGAGCTTGAAATTCTCTATCATCCTATATATTAATATATTGTCTTGAATTTAAGTAGCGAGAAAAACTGCAGATTTTTCATACTTGTCGATTGAGGGACCGTTCATTCTATTCAAATTATTTTTCAATAAACAAATATAAGGCAATAGATAAATATATGGGCTGATAGAGAATTTCAAGCTCTATCAGAATCTATAATTACTTTTAAAAAAGATAACACCATAGTGATAAAAAAATCTGAAAGACTAATTTTGATGGCAGAGAAAAAATCCAGTCTGTGAGAATCTGGACATAAGGGTACCTTCATTGCACTCAATTTATTTTGGTAATATTTAACTGTAAACGAAGACAAAAATAGACAGGGTGATAGAGAATTCCAAGGGCTATCAAATGGTATAATTAAGTTTTCCAAAATGTCCTTCTCGAGCGTCAATAGATTCGAAATACCATGTCCAGCTTTTACTTTCCAGGGGTATAGTTGATCGATTTTATCTAAGATTTGAAGTTGTATATCAATTTGTTTTT